GAGCTATCATTAATGACTTGACACCAGCAGGAGATATTAGGATTCTAGAAAGCATTGCAAATGGATTTTTAGTTTTCAAGACTAGACTGCAGCTGCTTTGCTCCGCCAGGTTTAGTCTTTCTTTGGCTGCTTATCCTTAACTCCTTAATGTGACACATTAATTATAGCCCCTCGTATGTTCCATTCTTTCAGGTCCCTGTGTCTAGAAATGTTGCCACTCAAATAGCAAAGTGCAAGCTTTCCATCATTATAATAGTTAAATAATGGCAGAGCTATGCAATTGAAACAGCATGAAAGGTCACCTTGACAATACTCTGATTGGTAAAAAGTAGCTTAAGGCATCACAGTTCTTTATTGTGAATGAGTCGACTGAGTTTATGACTATTTAGGGTATTTTAATCATTTCCAAGTTTGACACAAGGTAAGAAATGCCATTTTGGAATTTCTGCAGATGATCAAATGCATCAGATTTAAAGACAATATTTACAAAGCGCATTTTTGACTATATTGACCAACAAAGAGAGGACAGGCAGGAATCTGAAGCAATGATAAAGATTTTGGAACAGCTGGCACAGGCAGTCAGTATGAAATTTAAACCTGAGCAGAAGTCCATAAGAAGCTTCAGTCATCAGCAAAGTTCTTGAAAAGCTCTATTTTCAGGATTTAAGGAGCACAGGCACGGAGTAGAGACCTTGCACCAGGGACCTGAGAAGAAAAGTTTTATGCCAATTGCTTTTCATAAATTGCCTTGGTATGTGTTTTATGGCAGGACTAAGAGCAGGACTGAATTTCACATATTTCTTTGTTGAAGGTGGGACCAGAACCATTTCATTCCCACAATTATACAGCAACATCATATCTGGTGAAACCATAAAGGAGATGCAAATTTTTTGTCGCCTATTTTGTTTTTACCTAAGCCCTTGAAGTTTCATATGCCCTTTCATCTAGACGTTCAAATTAACTGTGGCTTGATTTTCTAAAATTGGATTTGGGCAACAAACACATCATTAATTGAAGTCCAGCCAGCATTTTATTTCTCAGTCTTCTGGTATATTCCCTTCCAAATACATAAAAATGGGGAAAATACTTGCTACTTCCCTTATCCACTAGGATCACTAGATAAAGCCCTGAATTTGAGATGTCCGGGATACTTCATTGCACACATCAATACTTAAGGATCCATCTTTCATGTAGCTGTTAATATTTTATATTAATATTAGTACCGCACAGATTTCTATATAATCAAATTTGAATAAAAGCAGAGGGCTGGATATTCTGAATGATGGAACACAGTCTTACACATAGGAGCTATAACTTCCTTCACTGAGAAAGGTCTAGCAGTTTGCTTGAGAGTAATCAAAATCAGTACATCTTTAAGGATCTTTTCTACTTCATCATCTAGTTTCTAATGCTGGCACTGACAGAATGGGAAAACCACATGTTGATGAAAGACTTACAACCCAAAGGGCATCTTCCTGCTGTGACTAAAAAGTCACTAACCGATGATACTATTCTAAAAGGTACCACCAGTAGCTGACAGAGAGGCTAATATTTATATAGCATACATGAATAAATTGTAATCAGATTAAGAAATAATAAGTTGCAAAATACATCTTTTAAGTGCATTGTTCAGATGGGTGCAAAATAATAAATTTTCACCTAATAATAAATATTTATCCTGTAGCTGTCAGAAAAATACATACAGAACAATCAGGGTTCTCAGTATAAGACAAAAGCATGTATAGTAATGTATGTTTTACTTCCTGCTGAGGCTTGTCAGAGCAACTATTCTTCTCTGAAAGGTGCAGAGCAAGTGGTGCAGCTTGCCAGCAGCATACTGTGCAACTTTGACTTAGGAGAACAGTATAGTAACACAGTCCAATTTCAGTAGCAATGGAGGAGGGCTGGATCTGAATTTCTGGAAGCCCTCAAGACATGACACTAAATTTTGGCTTTAAACAGGGATATTTGCTAGCAAATACACACACAGCCTTACCACAAATGCTACCTAAACAGCAATTTTATGCCTTCGTTAGAAAGTCAGTGACCTAGATGGAAACATTCGGTGGATATATCTGCCATTTATAAGGCCTGTAGAACCACAGTGTAAGAGATGTCCACACAGTTTCTCAGTGTCCTTCCAATATTTGTTTAGGTGTGGCATTTGGTTCAGCTCCATGCAATAAGATATACCCTGTCAGAATTGTTTCTTTAGGAGCTGGGCAACAATGATGTCTGCAGAAGTGTTTCTCTAGGTGACAGGCCATATTTCACCAGCCACTGTAAAGTTATGGTGTTCCCAGACATCAGTCTAGCCACCTCCCACCTGGGTAACTTCTGCTACTGCCTACCTCCACTACTGGGACTCTTTCTAGTACCCCAAATGCTCCCTGTTGAAACCAGCTTCATGGTCAGTACTGAGTAAAAAATAAGAAGATTAAAAATCTATCATAAAACAGGAAGAGTCATAAATGTAATTTAAAAAGCATTACAAATGTTAGTGTATAATATTTTGAATTCATGTATTGAAAAGCTTATTTTTGCTTTATTTACCTATAAGAAATGATACAGAATTAATTATTAATATTCAGTAGTCATTAAAAGAGCTCTGCATTGGGTATGATCCCTATCCATCAGTCAGCTGAGCTGCATGAAAGAAACTTTACTGCTTTTTTTTGGTGAATCACAAACAAGGTATTCATACAAGTCATTGCGTTGACACTGAAATCACAAACCCACAGCGAAAGGCCTGATCCTGCCAACAGATTTGTATAAGTGGTACTTTGACTTCTGATCAAAGAAACAAAATGATCTTATGCAGCTATAGTTTAACTAACATTTGGGAAAATGTATGAAATACAGAGTTGACCTCCAAATATCAGCAAAATTCCCACCAAAATTTCCTAGCTCAACCCAGTCTTTAACCCATTATCTGTGTCTTTGAATGCACTGAGATAACAGCTCCATAAATGTTGATTTCCATATGAATTGAGAAGAAAGATTTTGAACTTTCTCTACTAAGTTTGACTGTGCACAGAGGTCTTTTATAATATACATTTAAATACACAGTCTGTTTTACAATGTTTTCCATCATCTCTCTTCTCCATATGTTCTCCCACTAGGAATCTAATGAGTTCTACATATGAGGGATGACAAGGGAATATGCCTAAGAAATAATTCCAGCAATTACGGCATATGGAGGCATTGTTTTTGAGTCGCTTTTGCCATGAACATTAGGCAGAGCATCTGGGACCAAATTCTGTCTACCTGCCCATGGACATTAGCAAAATCATCATCTTCCATTTGTAAATTCTGCTGAGGTAATCTGCCATACAGAGAGGACCATTTCATCAGCTTTATGATCAGAGAGCATATTGAAACACAGACCATTTATAGTTAGGAAAAAATGCTTATATTCAGACAGAATAGTTTAAGCTGGAAACCATTTTAAAAGAAAATGAGAGGGACACATCATCTCTCTCTTTCTCTTCTCTACAAGAACTATGAAGAGCCTGTGTCCTGTTTCAGGCCACTATTACAAAACTTTTCTCGTCACTACTGAAGCTTCATAAGAACTGACTGGATCCGAGGCAAAGAGAAAATGACCAAAGAAAAGTAAAAACAACAACAACAACAAAGAGACCCAAACTCTAAATCAGTAACAGGAAGGTTTATATTCTCTACACCCAAATATTGGCAAGGCATCCAGAACTAATCGTAAAGAAACAGATTAAATAACTTCCTTCTATGGAGACACAGAGACTGAAACAACTAGAGTACATTTTGCAAGTTCTGGGTATCAGATCTAAATACTAAGGCATAAGGGAGAATTCAAGTTCAGTTTTTGTCATGTTTATTAAGACAGTAAGGAGAAAAGAGATCAAGAGATTCAACCAATATGCTGATATGGGGTAAACTTGCAATTCCACCTATTCATCATATTCAAGAAAAATGTCTCAGCAATGCGAGTAACACAAGTATGTTTACATGTTGTTTTCCCAGCTGTGCAGTTAAAGCAGTAAAAGCAAAGCCATAAATCCCAAACTACAGAATTTTAGGTTACCTCAATGTTATAGGGAAAAAAAAGAATGGCCCTGCTGTTATAGAGCATCTAAACAGAATTTTACAGTTCTGAATATAAACATAATTTAAAGAGCTAATATAGAACTTCTACAGTTAGGGTTACATATGGGCAATAATATTTCTATTACACAAACTATTTATCGAACTTAGTTGGGCAATTTTAAGTCTTTCATTCATGGCTAATATTGATGTGATTAGTGATATTTAATCAAGAAAATCTATTATCAATGAATAAATGGATTTCTCTTCCCACTGCCACACAGAATTACCTGTGCAATAGCAAGGAGGGCTTGAAAATAGAGGGAAGGTTCTTTAATCATAACCTGAATAGGGACAGACATGAGACCTTTAATAAACTTGCTCATTCAGAATTTTCAGATAAAAATGCTGCACACTCTCAACTGCAGCTGAGGGCCTTATCTAAACACCACCAAAACCACCAAGGCACCTTGCCATTTCTGTGGTCTGGCTTTGGAGCAAATCCCAGAGACACGAGACAGATCTTTCCAGCACTCTAGAGAACAGGGCTGAGAACCTGCTGTCACCACCACAGCCCCAGCTTTGGGATGCCGACTGTACCCCAGTGCTTCCATTCAGGATCCACATCCCCAGAACCTTTATCTCTGGTGTGAAACCGTACTACAATGGTTTTGCCTAGCCTGGCATCCCACTAACAGCAGTCTGAGAAAGAAGAACAGTCATTCCCTTATACAGTAGTTTCCAGCTGTCACCGTCAGTGGTCCTCCTGCCAGATGGTCTTGAGCTAGTTTTGGATTAAGAGATGTTCGGAACACTTGTCATCACCTATCAAAACAAAGTTGTGGGAAATGCAGCCTTTTCATATACTACCTCTTGTAATCACCACATAAGCAGCGCAGATGAATACAGAAGATGCAAAACAACAGCCATGGAAGACATTTTTGCAAAAATATTTGCAATGACTGAGTGTAATGTGGTACCAGAAAGTTACATAACCTCTTACAGAAAGAGGATCAAAGCTGTAATTTGGAAATCTTTTTTCATTCTATAAAAGAATAAACATAAAAGTTTCTCAGGGTACAAACTGCATTATAAAGACTAATACAGTGATTAAGTAATTCTTATTATTCAATTTAATACCACTGAAACCATAAGAAATCATTTAATAACATCAGATTTTTCAGGTGTGACATGTTTAATACAGAGCTACCTAACTATTGGCAAAAAGAAACTAGAGATTAAGGCAACACTTCTCTTACAAACCAAAACTGTGTTCTTTTTCCTTGCCAGTATCTTGGCTAACAACAGATGTGTAAAATTCAAGCATGAAGGAGGAGGCAGTACATCAACAGAAAAGGATGTCAATCACATTTTTCTGTTTTGGTGTTATATCTTATGTCTTATATATATTATGTTGTTATAATGACATCCATGCATTACTTGTAAACTATAAAATCCAGTTGAACAATTATAATGAGCAAAAAAAAACCCTGCATATATTTTTTAGGGAACCTACTACCTTATAGTAGATTTTTAGTTTCAAAACAAAACTATCTGATGCTTTCTGTCTCCAGTTTTAAAGCACAGAAATTCTGCATGAAGCAGAGCTGCACTGGCTTGAAGTACTGAAATGCTACACCAGTAGCGTTCTTGAGCAGAACTGGGGGAGTCAAGATTTAAAAGATATAAGATAAATAGGAAAATTTAAAGGATACAGGATAATAGGTGGATTTAAAGGTAGTAACAGTGGTATCTGCAGCAGTGCTGTTCCAATAGTTAGCACTTACTTATGACCAGTAAGCTATATACAACCAAGATACAGTCTTGAACATTTTTTAAGTTCTCTTTTATATTTATTAGATCTGATCAGGAAATTTTTTTCATTGAGACTCATAACAGGATTGTCTTTATGTTTTGTTGAACTGATCCAATACATTTCATTCTGAACGTTTTGAACAAAGCACTGTTTTCTTTCCCTGTCAATGCATTGCCACATGGAATTGCAGAATAGGAATTCATATTCTCCTTGCAGTTCAGAGTTCTTGATGATATCTGAATTCAAAGGGTAACATGGATTTCCCTCTGATTATAATGCCCGATCTTCTTTTTAATCAGATTAAGATGGGTATATCAAATAATCTGGGAAGTAGTAAATAAGAAATGAAGGAGTAATTGAAGCAGGATTCATCTCCACATGCTTACAACATGCATACCCACACCTGATGTAGTCACCTGCACTCCATTTTCAAAGACAGCACTAGAACAGGCACTATGGACAGCTGAACTACGGTTCTCAGCTTGCTTTGAGATACACAAGCAGAGTTCACTGTTTAACTGGCCTTTTTTTTTTTTCCCTTTTTCTTCAAAACATTTCAACAAATTAACCTGAAACATTATCTTTTCAGGAACGTCTACCATGTTCTGTTGCTACTGAAAATGTCTAAATGAGAGTTTCTCAGGATTCCCAGTTTGTGAAGAAAAAAAAACATTTTTATTCAGTCTGGCCTGAAAACAACAGTACACCCACCAGAATTTCCCATGACAATGCTAGAACAGTTGTGCTAGATATAAGTTTCCTTTGGAAAAGGACCTTTCAAAGTAGCAGGAGATATTCCCAGCTCTACTGAAAAAATATAGAATTAATACAACCCTCGAGATTCTTATTCACTGAAAAAAAATTATTTTGTTCCATGGGTAAACAGAATAGATCTCCAAAGCGCACATCCATACAGGGAACTCTATATTACAATTTTATTCACTTGCTATGAATATTCACAACATCAAACTACTGCAGATAATCTATTCAGTATATTTGAAAATCCATTTATTTTCACTTATTGATATGCATGTGCTACACTTGTATATAATACAGTATTTTCAGAGTTGGTTTAAGAACAAAGAAACAAAGAAAACAAATATTGAGAAGTATGATGCAGATTTTTGACCAAAGAGAGGCCATATTCAGATTTTACAAACCAGCACATTTACACTTTGCACTGTCCCAGACAATATCTTTAAGATGCTACCTTCTGTCCTCCACAAATCCATACAGTATTAATCCATCCTAAAATACTGAGATACCTAGTTGCTGCTACAAACAGTTTATCCTAATTAAATTTTAATCAGAGAAGAGTATCTTTCCCTGCCAATATTTTTTATTATTTCTCAGCAGAATGATAGAATATACTTCTCAATTTTATTCCCAACAGTCATTTATTTTATTTAAACTCTCCTGTGCAATAATACAGCAGAGGTAATGAAATGGTTTTGGAACAGCACAGGCTACTGTGACAGGCAGAGCACTCCAGGGTGTTCATTCATCATGGAACTTAATATATAACTACCTAGCCATGTCAATGACTTGTAATGATAAAATCATTTCCCTCTTTTTCTGGGAGTCTGGTAACCACACAGGACTTTTAAATAAGCCTGCATCTATATTTTTTTTACTACCATTAAGTGTGTGTGGTTTTCATTTCAATGCACCAAAGCATACAGCCAGAACTCCCTCAGCCTCTCCAGTCAGCATGCTTATGCAGTGTCACTAAAAGGAATTGCCAAATTTCTGTTGTATCAATATTACAGATGGTACAATATACACTAAATGGAGTATAAAATTATACATTCTGTAATAACTTAGAAAAAAGCTCATAGATGCTTAAGGCCTTTAAATATTGAGGATTTTTTCATGTAACAGCACATCACGAAGTTCAAAAATTGCTACTGAAACAAAAAATAAAAAAGTAAATGTGATTTTGGCAAGGATCTGATCTGAATTGGATGACTGTAAGCAAGCAAAATACCCACAAACTGTAAATCTAGGTGGGCACTAGGACTTTTTTCCTTTATAGCAAACAGACTGAGCAGACATCTACATAAGCATCCAAAAGTACTTAGGTTCAAGCAAGGGATTTTATTTTTTAATAAAAAGACAAAAAATCTGAATGATTACCATCCTATTTCATAATTGCAAAACTCATTTACATCCCTGCCTACCTTTATAAAAAGGGATGAAATACTGTCATTGACTGCTTACCATGAATTTCAATTAATTAAAGGTTGGGAAAGTAAAGTACATATCAGGAACACCCATCTCCTTCAAACTAAATGGAAATGTATATCTTAAAGGTATAAAATGTCTTATAATGGAAGTGGTAATTGAGTTTTGACCACTACTTTTTAACTGCCAAATAGCTGCAGTAGTCGGTTAGCCTTAGGGAAACACGGCAACCTCACTATACATTCTAATATGACTGATGTATTCAGGTAACTATTACTTGTCAACAATAATTATTAACAATGGATATATATTTCCATTCCTATAACAAAAGCAACTTCAAGATGTTGAAATATGTACCTTTGAGAGCTCCAAGATTAGAATACAAATAAAAATGTCTAAAACTGCGCCATGCCAGAGGACGATTTCTGCAACAGAAATTTAATTAAAGCAGTGTGCATTCCCACCAGCAATCTGAATGGTGGACCAGGGTTCATTTCAGAGAGAAGGAACCAATACATTTTGGAGGTTGAGTTCATCAAGATGAAAAGCCACTGGTCTGGAATGGAGAATCTGAAAGATTGCTGCTTTTCTGCACCTCTTGAATATCAACTCTTGTGATTACAGCTGCAAATTCCTCAGCAAGTGCAATTTTACAAGTGTACACAGTTCAATCAGTTGAAGTCTTTGTGACACAGAAGTTCAGAATGACTTTCCAGTAGTTTTGATCTCAAGGATGTTGCTGATTACAAGCCAGGTTCTCATTGAAACAATTGACTCTGAAGGATACACCCCAGCAGTATAAAATTTGACTTCAAGGATTGCCTGGAGGAATGAAATTCCTATGTGTTGTATTTAATGTTATCAGCTTTGAGACTGACTTGATTTGTCTTTAGCTATCGGGTTACCTGTAAAGAAAAAGAAAATCAGAAAATCAAAACTATACATAGAGAATCTACTTCCAAAGGACTGGAAACTGAGACTGAAATATAAGCTCTCTGTCCAGCAAAGATCCTTCAATTGTTTTTAAATAAATGAATAATTCCCAATGGTATTAGATGGGATTGCTCCCCAACTTAAATTGTGTGCTTAAGTGCTTTGTTGGAATTGGACTGGACAAGGAGAAATTGAAATGTGACCATGCTTAGAAATATAATAAAAAAATCTGAAGGTCACAAATTACCGGCCCACAAATGTCAAAAGCATTGGTCTCAAGGAGAATTTCTATATTCTGTTCATCCTTTTCAATGTTAGAACTTCTGTATGGTAACAACTATGCTTTTAAAATGTTAGCCATTGAATATAACAATGACTGATACTGGAAATGTATTCTTCTGTTCTTTGCATGTTACTTTAGAACACAATCATAGAATCACAGAATCATAGAATCATTTAGGTTGGAAAAGGAAATATCCTGTTAAAGGCTAAATGCATCTTAGCATTCAATAATCACTTAGTGGAGAAACAGGACAAAAATCATGCATGCATAAACAAGAGAGAGATATATCATGTTATTCACAAGGTATAAAATAACTACCAAGGAATTCACTTAGAGTGGTTTCACCCCACCTAACGTGAAGTAAGAGTGGAACAGAACGACCACAGAGAAAGAGTGTGAGACAAAGCATTTCACAGTAAATGGACTTTCCCTGTGTCTGATTTGGATTTAAAACATTAAAAGAAAAAAACCCATAATCTGTCATATCAAAGAAATATAACTTTGAGGAATATTTCTGCTGTGTCAGTGGATACAATTAATGATCATGTAACATTTTAATATCAAATTGTGTCAGGGGACAACATCCCAACTCTTGAGGAAGAACCCACTGGAACGGTCACAATAACTTAATGACATCAAGGGGCATATGCTTTTCATTTTGATCATAGAGAAAAGGGTCATGCACCTTCATAATGAAACACTCTTTTGCCCTCAGCAAAACTGTTTGCATACAGCTCTCATCAGCTCTGCAGAGCACAAACATAGAGCAGAATATTAAAATGACTGCTCAAGGAGTTAATTACTTCAGTTTGCCTTCTCCACCAAGTTGTTTCTAGGAACCACACCTAAGAAGGCAATAATAAAATTGTGCTTTGTGATTTTTTATGATACATGTGTTCATTTATTACACTGTTCTTGTTTTGTTTTGTTCTTCTGTTGGAAAAAGCCTCATGTGGCCCCTTCTACAGTGGAAGATTGCCTGAAAAAATAATGAAGAATTAATTTAAAAGTCAGGCAACATATTTCTATGCCCTGCACTAAAGCTGAAAAGGCTGACACAGCATCTTATTATTATTTATTTTTTGCTTTATTATAACATGCTGGAATTTTACTCATGGACCCAGGTGCCACTGAGCTACATAATGGAAAATACACATCTTCTGATCCTATCCACAGGTGGATCTTTATTAGCTTCACTTTAGCGGATAGATAGATAAATAGATAGATAGATAGACAGACAGACAGACAGACAAACAAACTGTGATAAATCAACTGATGCAAATCACACTGAACACAGATCAAAGGATGTGAGGCTCCCAAAGAGGCCATGTAGATGCAGGTTCAAAGCTTCTTACTTTTCCAAACAGCAGAGTAGACCAAAACCAAAGCAGAACCAGGGGACAGTGTCCTCAGAGGCACAACTGGATAGGCACAGTGACTGGAACTCAGCTGAATTCTCTATTCTGCCTACATGCCAACAGAGTAGACCTTGGCTACTAAAAAGAGAGGGTGCCAGCTGACTTTTGAGAGACCAAGTTGACCATGACCCAGAAATGTACCCTTGCTGCAAAGAAGGCTAATGGTATCCTGGGCTGCATTAGACAAAGTATTGTCAGCAGGTGGAGGGAGGTGATCCTTCACCTCTGCTCAGTGCTGGTGAGGCCATACCCATGGCAGTGTGTCCAGTTTTGAAATCTCCAGTACAAGACAGGCATTGAACTATTGGAGAGAGTCCACTGAAGGGCTATGAAGACAAATAAGGAACTGGAGCATCTCCATATGAGGAAAGGCTGAGAGAGCTGGGACTGTTCAACCAGCAGAAGAGGAGGGTTGGGGGCGGATCTCATCAATATGTACAAATACCTGAAGGAAGGGTGAAAAGAAGATGGAGCCAGGCTCTTTTCAAATGCTTCCCAGTGACAGGACAGAAGGCAATAAGCACAAATTGAAACACAAGAGGTTCCCTCTCAGGAAACACTTTTCTACTGTGAGGGTGACTGAGCACTGGCACAGGTTGCTCAAGGAGGTTATGGAGTCTCCATCCTTGAAGATATTTAAAAAACATCTCGTCCTGGGCAACTGGCTCTAGGTGGCTCTGCTTGAGCAAGGGGTTTGGATTTCCAGAGGTCCTTTCCAACTTCAACCATTCTGTGACTTATTTTTTCTATTACATCCAGTTCTGCCAATGCATGGACTAAGGTGATAAACTGCAGCCAGTAAGAAGAGCATTTTCACACATACATGAATTCTCAATTACACGGCTGTTTGGAAGTGCAAATGTGTTCTCTTCAGTCACAGAGAAACTCAGTAAAATCATAATCCGCAGGCCTATCTGCTCCCCTCATCTAGCTCTAAAACTATGTGGTGAAAATATCCCTATAAAAGCAACACACACTGTTACATAGAATAAATAGGTGATATAAAGAAGAAAAAAATCAGATAGACATTCAAATCTCTGCTCTATAACAGGTGGCTAATAATATATAAAGGGCATTTTGTTTATCCAGACTGCACAGGAAGTCAAGCTGCATATTCCTAGTTTTTACAATTACGATTGGAGTTTTTAACTGCTTTCTCTTGCCAGAATTTTTATTATTCTGTCTGTCCTTTTTTTTTTTTTTTCTGTTAACTTCTTTTCCCGTTAACTGTAACAATGCTACTCTGAGTAACACACATAGTATTCCACATTTGCCTCTATGTAAGAGGGTAATACTTATTATATGCAAGCACAGACCAGACATTAACATTAATGGATGTTATACATCCATACACATTGGGGAGAGAATAGACCTCTCAGATGCTGAAGGCAGTTTCATAAAGAAGCAATGACATTTTAGCTAATATCTAGTGATGGTATTCCCAGAAATGCTTAACTATGGATATAGTAAAAGCTATTTGCTTTGGGTGGCTGGGAAGAAAGGTATTGTGCCAAAGGTCTTTATAGGAAAAGGGGGACTGATAGCAGTATGTGTCTGATCTTTAAAATCCTAAGAGAACAGTAACGCACTGAATGGGTGCAAATCAAGCCTAATCAATTTTTCAATTAATAAGTAATATGTATGGAAAATTAACTTTGCTTCTGTTTAACAAAACAAATGAAAAAGAAGCACATAAAACCTTTAGCATCCTAGGTGTTGATTTTAATTAATTTGTTCATTCTTGGAATATAATTACTCCCTTTATGCTAATATATTTTTTCACATGGTTGTTATATCATAAATACAATGCATTAGACTCTCTTCACTTTCTTGTACTAAATGTGCAATTCAAGTGTAATTACTCTGCAGTTGCACACTTTTTAATTTAAAATAGTGAGTGGCTGCTGTAAATTGGCTGTAATCACATGTGACCTCACTTATTGCATTTTAGAACAACAATATATGATTAAATGCAACTGAACTTTTCCACGTTTCTTTTGCTCATTACATGTTCAAAATAGAATCAGTCTTTGGGCAGAACATTTTTGCCCGGGTAACCCAGAACAGACCAGAAATGAAAAGACCTCAAAGGCAGTGCATTAGAATAGCTACCATCTCAAGAGATTTTCTGGACAGCCTCTATTCCAGTGCTGGCTGAAAGTAGGTGAAAAATGTCCTCACTTGTGAAATCCCCACAGCTGATGAATATGGCGATAATACCATCTATTCTATAAGAATATATTTCCAATAAGAACCCAGCCTGATACTTTTACTCAAGACTTCCTTCTGCCTTAGAAGAGGAAGGAAGGAAAATCAAGGCTATAGGATGTAAAGAATGGTTGAGTGAATATTCCCTGAATAGTAAAGCACTTTCATGCACCTAAGCATCAAAGTTACAGGATCACAATTAGGTATAGTATAGATCTTCTATTTTTTTCAGAGAAACAAATATATCACTAATTATTTGCTATCTACAGAATAGTTTATACATGCAAATGAGGCACATAATTAATTATTATTTAATAATGTTAGAATAAAATATACAATGATAAACAGCATATTGAAATAAGTGTGTCCTGGAACATTTCATAACACAGGTTTGTACATTACAATTTTTTTGACTGTCAGATCTTTCAATTTTTTTCAATGTTTATCGCAGAATCCCTATTAAAAACAGACTTGAGTTTGGAAAGCCAAGCACTGGAAAGTTAGCAACTTGCCTTTCTATGAGTGCCCTTGCAACTCCAATTATATCTCTTTTCCATCGTGCACAGTAAACAATAGAATTTATTGGAGGAGGAGTATTGAAGGAAAGCCTATTATAATGTCATCAGGACTATGTATCAATGCAAATGCAGAAAGCAGCAATTTTTGAAGCCAGTGTTTATTCCCTCTACAGGTGATTCAGCAGCATGACGGACCCTCTGTTCCAGGTTTTCACCAAAGAATATAAATAAACATAAAAAATAAATAATTTAATACTGGGATTTTTCTTTTTAATTAGAACAGTTCCATCAACTATATAGATTTGTGTGTGTGGTTGTAACCTGAGTGTCACCTGAACATACTCAAGAATCATCAGGCTAACTTTTTCCTTTTTTTTTTTTTTTTTCCCCGAGACACATAAGACAGAGAAAGGAAAATTTTTCTTTTAAAAGCAATTAACAGCTCACCCTGAGCAAAGTGGAATTCCATGAGACAAAGGAAAGCTATCTTGGCATCCCTATCATTCATATATAAATTAAAGGCATCTGGGAAACAAAAATGATGTGGAAATTTTTAGCAAAAAGGGTGTCACAAATATATTTAACGACCAACATGAGATAAGCTAAATACAGGGACTGTAACAAAACTCCCTTAAATAAATGCTTGAAGAAACAGGCCTAAGAAATGTCTCAAAGAAATGCTTAGTATGGATTGTCCTCCAAGACATGGAGATAAGACAGGGTTGTATCAAGACAGTCCTTATTTATATGCAGTACAGCTCGATCCATTTTGTGTCCTTATCTTTATATTCTTTCTTACACTGTACATAAACAGACCACACACACAAAAAAAAAATAATAAAACATGGTCAACAAAGTGATTCGTTAGCAAGCCTTTCCTAATAAGGAATGGACTTGAAGAAGTCTATATCAGTCATATTTTTCTATGATATAAAAAACTTTGTTTTGGTAGTGAAAACCTAATGTGAATATTACAATGCAGAAACAGAAGAGCCCATACAACCAGAAACAAACATCTATCAATGCATTTTTTTCCTCTTATGCCCTCTGTAAATGAGGTCAAGGTTGAAAATGAATCTTTTGAATAGCTAGAAGTGCATTATTTCCTGGAATTTCAAAGTCCACACAGTGTGTTTGCCATGCACTATCACTCATACATAGCTTATGAAAGCAAATGACAGTTGGCATTGCCACTTGTGCATGTTTATTCACTGAAACAGTTAAACTTGTAAGCTTGGAAGGTGCTTCTGATATAATACTACAACCTTGTACCAATGCTACTGAAAAGTACTTTGTAATCAGTAACAAAGGACAGGTTCACAATTTTCTCATGGCTTGAGAATCCTGTAATTTCTTTTCTAAAGAAGTGGGGAAACTGGACAAAAAGAGCTGTTAAGGACCTTTTTGCAACAGGGCTCCTACAGGCATATGCACTTAACAACAGTAGATAGGTGTGGATTTGAGTGTTTATGCAAGATAACTAAGTTGGGGGGGGGGGGGGGGGGGGGGCGGGTTGGAAACAAGGGACTATTTGAAAAGTTTGAGAAATCTTAAGGTGGTTCAAACATATTTCAAGAATATGCTTGATAAAGTAACTGAAGCAGAGAACTGTGAGTTAGGAAACAGGTCCTTCTTTCAGTATCACAGACCACTATTTGACTTGGGCTAATGACAAAGGCAAAATTTGAGTGAATTGTGAGCAGTCTGGAAAACAGTTATGTAACAATAACTATATGGATTAATTTATTTTCAGATAAGGTTACATACTGATAGACATTTTTTCAAGTCTTCACATGTTTCATTCCTGCTCATAAAACTTTGGCCCTACCTAACTCTGATATCAAAACTCAAGAGATTTAAATCTTTCCCTTATCTTTATTTTAGGCACTGCAGTATGAAAAGTGTTAGTCTAAACATGTTCCCAAGCCTGTAATGAAGCAATGTAGGATTCTAGATACTCAGTTCTGTACTTCAGGAAACATCTCTACCTCATTTTATTAATAAAACAGAACATTTCCCAGTACATTTACATGGCTCAAAAGTTTCCCATGTCTTTGACAACCACCAGACTCTAAAGCTTTTAATTTTTTCATATTTTCATTGCATTGTGACTAACCGGAATTGTATTTGTGATAATTCTTGTGCTTAGAACCTTCCATTAGAAAGAAACAAACATGTTGAAAACTCATATCACACAATGCCATTTGAAGTATAATTCTTAATTCTGTATTTCTCATTTTTCCACTGGTCTTAATGATTTCATGGGGAGATTTTTGGTGTTAAAGTGAACGCCTAGACAATCACTGTTAAAAACTGTAATTAAAACTAAAATGTTTTGGAAACCTTTCATGTGTAAATTTTGCTTTCCACTCGCTCCAAATAAACTTAAAGTTAGGACTAGAAAAATAGGCAAAGGAAAAATACTTTAGAGCATGGCATACATTCCTGAAAATGGCAGAGCTATTAATCTTAAACATAGTTTTAAGATTAAACAGACAACATCTAGCATATTTTAGGAATATAGTGGAAATACGACTTTCACAACTTTTTCTGAATTTTAAGTAATCCCATATGGGATGCTGACCTTTCAACTACAAAGGAAAACCTAACTGAATGTACCAAGAGGTACTTCCTTTCTAAGTGCTGTTCTCTTCTCCAGAACATCTGTTGCTTTCCTGTGATAGTAAGTAATTTAAGTTCATCAACTGGGTCTACCTTTGAAAGAAGAGTGAGTGAAGAAAGACATTTTAAGGTTCCCAGAAGCATCTGACTGACATACTAAAGCTGCTTAGGAGTGCAGTGCAGAGTCTCTCTAACCACCCTCCTGAAGCTCTGTCCAAAATAAGCCAAGATTCCTGGGCATCTGCAGCAAACTAAACAGCTACAATGAGGAGTAAGGTACAACAATTCCTGTTAATACTGTGTAAACCTGTATTTGTACACACCTGCTGCTCTGTGAGTAATAAACCAGGGCTGGAACACATTTTCTGGAGTGGTTTGACTCTTTATTCCTCAACGAACGTTCTGGCCCTTCCTTAGAATCCGACCAAGACTAGGATTCATCACAACTAGTGCTCCAACGTGGAGCCAGAATATTTTGTGTGTGTGGAAAAATCAAAAATTGTCATCAGGCACAGCAGAAACCTCCTTTCTCTACTTCTCCATTCGGACTTGAGGAGTTTTACACGTTTGCCTAAGAAACAAACACATGTCAAGTACTACACTGTTACGGAATTAGTTACAGAAAACAAAACTGTGATAGATGGAATTTAACTTACAAGGAAAAGTACAAATGACAGGGAAAACATATTTCAGAATCAGAGCAACTTCTCTTAGCAAAAGAGCATGGTCTCAAAAACACTCCCAAGCAATAACAGTAACCCCAGAGGAAAAGGTTTAAACATACTCAAATTCAAACTCATTGATTTGTCACCAAAAAAGCAATGGAAACTGATAGATAACACTCATTTTTTGCAAGCATATCAGCCATCTTTAACTATGGTAAAACAGTAATTGAAAAGTTCTTTGAAAATAAGTCCATGGATAGACCTGTGGTATAGAAAAGAGCCATGAAGTCAGAAGATGATTCTCTCTAAATTAAAGATTTGACTGTGTTCTTCCCATATATGTTTAAGGTAAAACCAAACCAAACCAAAACCCCCAAAAGTTTAAAGTTTGAAAAATGTTATCGTTTTGAGGACAACTCTACTTACAGTCATTTCTATGGTTAGTAGGTAAAAGGAAACACCATAAAATAACAGATGACACATTTCAAAAGTCAATATTCAATTCAGACAGCTGGTTCCTTATCTAGATATTTGAGGCACTTTTTGGACCTGCTAGTAACGGTTGCTTCTGAAAAGGGTTGCACAGCACCTCAAAAGATCACTTAGATTTCTTTAAATAATGCTTACAAAAAGGTTATTATTTTCTTTTTTTTTTTTTAATAGGCTTTTTAACTTAAATGTCCTGCTGCAGATCATGAGAAACAAACATTACAAGATTAAACTCAAAACTCTGGTAACTTGTTGCTTTAATACAATCTCTACACATTTAAATGCTATGGAACACATTAATATCGCTCTGTATTCATATTTCCCTGAACCTGATAGTTTACAAAATAAACTTATTTGATACAACTCACTGGGACAATTATCACAGTGTATATCTGATGAAGACGTATGAGTTATGTCAAGGCTAAATCTAATTCATTAATCTTTTGAACATACTTCATTATTATTCTCTTCCAAAAGGTAATGCCACTACAATGCACGTACCTAAGCTTTCTCAGTGTTTCTGTAACTCATCAGAGAAATTAAGATTATGGTAGAATTGTTTTAACTTCAGAAAATTTTTCATTTTCACACAACAGTTTTATATTAAAAGAAGACTTAAACATAAACCTTATTTTACTTTCTGTAACAGATAATAACTGTAGCAATTCAGACAAGGATATATCCTCTTGAGGTTTTTGTGGTGATCGCAACTCCATAGTGGGACTGCGGCGTGACGGCATAAAAGACTGCAAGACAATTAATTAAATAAATATAATTTTCTTCTCTTTTACACCATTTATTCCATCTAGTCATCTCAAGTGGGAGATAAAAACCACCTCCTTCCTTTTTACAGATAACAAAACTGGAGCATAATAGAGTCAGTCTACCCTTCCAACTGTGAGAAAGTAAATGGAGAAGGAAGGATGGGAACAGAGTCCTCCTGTCTTTGGCTTTATCTGATCTCACTTACCTAAAGAAAAGCCTATTGTTCCTGATTGGAAAGGAAAACCTGTAGCAAGTAGTTTCCTGTGTTTAATATTCTAAAAATGAAACAAAACAAAACAAAACAGCCTTGGTTTAAAACTAGGTTGAGGTTTTAAGTTGCCTAATAGGTATAATGACTTTTCATCTTTTAATATTTTTTTCTAGAAATTGGGTAAGACTGAGCTTCAAATTATCCCCACTAAAAAATCAGGTAGCCTACTTTCATCACATTTGGTATCATTTTCTTCTTCAGATGTTTATGCTGTGTTATTTTTTCCGGGATTTTGAATGGAGAGTAACAAGCATTTGGATGAGATCAAAATAGAAACATAAATTATTTCCTTACCTGTAATTTTATCTTCTCTATTGAGGGTACCTGCTGCTCTGTTAGTGGAGTACTGATGTGTTTTCTGCCTTTGTCCCAAGCTTCAGAGATTCCTCTGGTGATTTTTCCCCACTTGCTTACCAGCTTCCACTGCTGGCATTTTGAGGTAGTGCAATCACATTTGGCTCCAGGAATACTGCCACAGCTGAGGGAATATAAGACAACTAAAAAACAAGTTAGAAAACAGCAGAGAAATATCCAGGCAGGAAAAAAAAAAAGAAAAAAAAAAAAAAGTTTAAAAGCAATGAATCAGTCATCAACTTGAAACCCTTTGATCATTTTCCTCTCTCTTTTCATCCATTTAGAATCTCCACATGAAGAAAAGACTTTTCCATGCTTGGAGAAGTTTTAGCCAAAGTAGTGGGTCCTGACAGAGTAGTGGGTACCCATTCAGAGAACATAAAATTATTTTAAGAGAATCTAATTTTAACTTTCTCCAGTATGAGTACCCATCACGCCATCACTCTAATACAGGTAAGAAAGAGAAGAAAGATGGCAGGTTTGGAGGATTTCAGAAAAATCCCTGTCACCCTGTCAGAAGTCTTAATAGAACTGGGGAAAAGGAAGACTCAAGTACTGGACTTTCCATCTAAAAACTGTCATAGATGAACAATTAGAAGGATTTCTCATTGCCCAGGAAAAAATACATAAAGTCTTGTTCATTAAGAAGTAGTCAAGATTATGGTTGCTGATTCCCAACTAATAGTTGCAGTCATCTTGGTAATCACAGAAAATGAAGGCAAAAGAGCAACTAGTAGTGTGAATTTAAAAAGTAAATGAACACAAAACAGAGAGCATATCCACCATCCATGCTTGAAGTTGTGTGTAGACAACAAAATGTCATTGTCATTCTCTTTCATTTTTTACATGTAATGGTCACATGTTCTTGCGGCATTCTTGGACGAAGATAGCAAAACATACTGGCATTAATTCCAGGAAATGATGGCTTTGATGCTTTCCCCTGACATTTGCCCTGAACGCATGATAAACTGATGCACATTACTAGCATCATTCCTGAACGGATTAAAAATGTCTTCTTGCTTGAGTATTATGAAGATTTCCAGGTGAAAGTTACAACTTCCTATAACTCCTCTGTACTGGTTTTGAACTTCATGGTACACAGAACAGAAGTATCCTGTCAAAGAAAAAAATGAACTCTAGAAATTTAACTAATAAACTTCTTTGGTATTCAATTTAATTTGTCTTTTTTAAAGAACCTGGACAGTTTTCTTCATACCTGCATCTTCTCATTATCTTCTGACTAGTATGTGACCCAAGACAAGGTGAGTGTGAATGATTCGGAGTAGCTAATCACGATTAGACACTGGTATACTAAAATCTCAAGTAATGAAAAAAAGACCAAAAGGCTCTGAAGAGGTTGTTTCTCTCAATTTTCAGGAATATAAGTACCAATAATGTGCTTTCAGGTCAAGAGAGAGGAAAGAGATTCTGATAATTTCTTGAATGACCCTCCAAAAAGAAATTGGCTTTCCAAGCTTCTAATTCAAAATTTCAAGTTGCATTCTAGAAGAAAGTCTCCTGTTCCTTTTTCATACTTTGAAAATATTGAGCATTAATTATTAACAACTGGAATTAGAATGACGACTTGAAGATGATAAATTTGCTATGCTCTTGTTTTCCAAGGTCACTCTGAAAAGATGTTCAAGGAGGCAGGACAGAGGGATCTCAGAATTCTAGAACAACTACTCTGATTTTTCAATTAATTTGCCTAAACTGGTAACAGCACAAGCAGAGGTAAAGTCATTTGGTCTTCTTTTGGCAGGGACATGTTCCTGAGCCACAAAGCTTGAATTTGGGATGAAGGAACAAGCTGCTTTTTTTCTGGTTGGCATCAGTAAGATATTTTCTGGCATTCTTGAACCTGAAGAGGCAAAGCTGTTTTGGTCCTCTTAAAATATGCAGATCCATTAAAATTCTCAAATCTTCTATTACTACTGAGTTTGTAGATACATGTTGGTTAGACACATTCCATTGTCTCCTTGCGATCATATCCGTCTTCATAAACTGGAGACACACTTGTATTCACTTCTGGTTTTATAGGTCTTGCCAATGTAATTCTACAGGTCACATCTTACAAACAAGTTATGGTGAACTGAATATCTTGTAACTTCACCTAGAATCTCCACTTCAGAGTTCTATGACATTTCTTGCTGCAGATATGGAAGGGGTTGAATGATAGTCAGGACTGTAAGGTCTGAGAAGAAATCATCTGTGTATGCTAATAATGCAGTACAAGAAAGCTCAAAGTCCGTTTTATAGAACATATGAAGACCTTTGGAATCTTTGCTCCATACACAGCAGTAGTATCTTTCCTAAGATGAACCTGGTGCTCACCAAGGTGGAAGAAGGAGTAAACTACAAGCTATGCAAAAAATGAATAATTCTGAAATTCTTATGAAAAATAATTTTATGTTGGTCCTCTTCTTTTTTACTTCAGTCCTAGACATCAATCTTCCATTCTCGCCTGAAATGCATTTTTTTTTCTTCATTTTGAACAGTTCTCAGATAGGGCAGGACTATCTTCATTATTCTTGTGGAGAAATAATGATTTACAACCATGCTCACTTTGCTCTGCAAGGGAATAATAACTGAGTAATCTGATTTCAACTGGTTTCAGAGTTGTTCACACCTCCAACAGTGAATGTGCGTAATGCTCTGTATGATTGTCTTTCTCTGCTTGATATTGATTATTATCCATTTCCTTCCTTCCCTATTAGGAGGCAGAAAAGCAGAGCTGCGACAGAGTAGTAATTCTGAAGTTTTCTATAAACAGTCCTAATGAGTAAGGAAATACCTCAAGCAAATTGTGGGATTTTTGAGAATTGAAAGTAATGCCTTTTGGACACTTGGGGGCCACTTTTCCACTCCTTTGTATCAGTTCTGCAACTAACCCGTGATGCAGTTTGTGAAGCCTGTGCCAAATAACCATGGAAAGAGGCAAGGGTTCTGCCTGCAGCTATTTAGGTAGTAGGTAATGTAAGGCTTCAGAACACTCTAGTCCCTCTGAGCTGAAATGTATTGTTTCTGAGTTGCAGAAATGATCCACAAAAGCCCTTATAGACTGAAAAAGGGGGTGAGATGAGGAAGAAGCACTAGTTTTAGAGCATGCCAGCATGACTCACATGATACTGGCATTTGAATATCATCTTCTTATACGGTAACTTGTGAGGCAGTAGAAGCCGACAAAGATTTTCCAGGAAAACTAAAAAGGACTGCTAGATATTCAAAGAGCCGTCCTTGCACAACTGTGAAAGGGCAAAGACACTGACAAAATGGAGCTGCAAATGCAAGTGGAAATGTCTTTGATTTCAGTGTCAGGACTTTTCCACTTCATGGAGAAGTGGAGAAAACCAGTAATTTACATACATCTTTCAGAACTCATTCTTATTTTCCATCACAGAGGCAGAAAATTATTCTTCAGTCATGAGGTCAATATCTCAAACATGCCAGCAAAGGACAAATTGGGGGAAAAAGAAAAGAAAGAAAAATAAATCACAAGTTGAATCTTTTGGGACAAAGGCAGAAAACCTCTTGGTTAGACTGACGGAGTAGAAGATTCCCATGTGGAAGAAAGAAAATCTTGCAAAAATCACTGATTAGTTAATTAATGTCATGCAATCAAAATCTATTTGCATTTTTCTTTAAATATTGCGGAAATATTTTCCTTTGATTTCAGAGTAATTCTGTCAGTTTTCAGGTTCTGCAGAAGCTAAAATGGTGCTTTACAGTGGATTCTAGCTGCAATCTTACCTTAGGAAAAACTATTTCCTCATAAAAATGTATAAACCACAGCCCATATTACTAACACTCTGCAAGTGTGATGAAGAGATTGCAAAAGATGTCATTTCTCATGAATTGTACAGTGTGTCTACTCACAAAAAAAATTAAAGTAACCCTTCTGAATAGCTTGAGAGAAGTCGGTGTATTCACAAGGAGATGCAGCCAGGGATTGGGGGGAAAAAAAAAAAAAAAAGGGGGGGAAAATTTGCAAACCTTCTAGGCAAAAGCTGCTAATAAAAAAAAAATAAAAATACTATTCTCTTTTTAGAAATTATTATCTTTCAAGTAATGCATTAACAGGCTCATTCTTTCCAAAAGAGTTGTACCTACAAATATTGCCTTTAACCCACTATCTCTTTTGATCTTCCTCACTTTCACTTCTTAGTATCAGTATCCATAGGACTCAAAGTCAGAACAGAACTACGCAAAATTTGAGACTGAAAATGTCTTGGGAGTTGAATGTTTGGATTATCTTCACCTACCCAAGAAGTTTTACTGACCTTTCAGTCTATGACTTAGCTTATAACATTTCACACAACATTTCTGCCTTTAATCCTTTTCACCATAACTTTTGTTTTGTGGGTATTTTTAATAAGTACATTGGCCTTTGGGGAAAGGATTATGACTTCTCTAGACTTCTGTGACCTACAAATAAACATCATCAGGCTGTAGGCCTAAACTCATGTCAAATGTAGACTTGCAACAAGACCCTTTTCATAGGGTAGAACTGGGCACACCAAATTCACATTAAAGTAGTAAATTTGGTACATAGCAGCTATTTTTAAGAAAATCAGTGAATTGCATAGCCCTGAATACTGATGATTCCTTGTAACTTGTGTTGGCTGGAATGCTAACTATTTTCATCAAAATGTCCAAGTATCCCAAAAGATCAGTGTTTAGGTGCCCAACAAAAAATACAGAGCTTCCATATGAATAAATTGTGATGCTAGCCCAAAACAATGATTTTTCATACAAAAAGCTAGCTTGACTCCAGAAAATGTCATCCTATTTCCATTACCAGCTCATTTGCCCCCTGAAACTTGTAGGTATTTATAGGAAAATGTGTACGTACCACTTACTGCCATTTTAATGACAGATTAGATACAGTGGGTCTCTGAGTTAGCAATGAGAAACATGCTGAGACAGCTGCAAATTTCTCCTAGTGACAGATTAGCCAAAGGCATCGAAAGAGATACCATAGCAACAAAGAGGCTGTCACGAGTGCAATCACTCTTTTCCATGGGCAATGTTTTCCTACAGTCTGTGCACTTACTTATATTGTAATCACATCCTTTTTATGAACCACAAGGACTTGCTAGTCACTGTATATATGTGTATTATTCC